TCAACAGGCACAATACACCTTTGACAGCGAACGGGGATCATCTTATTCCGAATTATGTCGAGAAGGCGGCGAGAAAGGCCGTCAGTGTATCTCTGTAAGTACATCATTAAGCCCGAGCGCCCAGGTGTACGTCTCACCGCCAGCACCACATTGCGCAGCTCAAGATGTCTTCCACGGAATTGTTCGAGGCAATGCAGGTAAGCCCAAGGAGTTGTTGTGCATGTATCTTTTACTCATCCCCTTTAACCACAGGGGTTCGGGTTTTTCTGTGCTTTACCTTCGGATCCATCTCGGACACACATGGTCTGCAATAAAGTACCGCAGACGTAGATGCACAAATAGCGCTCAGCATAGTGACACTATTAATTGGTAGAGCGAGGAGTGTATGAAGGAGCAAAGTGATACTTGATCATGCTGTTTCAGCATCAATACCAAGCTGTCCGTGATGTGCCTTTTTACGGTGACTTTCCGCCAGCTCACGACGTTGCTGTGCAGCGCGTAGATCAAGCGTGGCCATATCCAGTTCATGCAATGCACGACGACTCGCTTTTGAGCTTCGCCTACATTCTGCTGCGGCGTGGGCTCGGTGTGCCTCCAAACGGGCAAACTTAAATGAAGATCAAAGGCGTCAGCATACTCCCAGGGCGGTTTACCCTGCGAACTGACCTCTACTTCGTATGCGGCGCTAAATTTGGGTTTCGGCTCGTGTTTGGGAATGACTGGCAGATAGGGTTGTATTACTGCGGGTTTGGGTGGTTCGGTAGGCGCGCTTGAGGTAGCTTCGGCTCCATGCTGTGGATGGGGCGGTTGTTTGCGTTCGAGTGGAGAGCGCGGAACCTGCTGGGGTGAAGGTGATCGCATTTTCACGTTTTCTTCTTCATCCCTGTCATCGGAGCGATCTTTCCCTTTGGAGTGGCCAGTGAGAGGTGGTTCCTCGGAGGGCTCGTGTTTGATTGGGCTAGTGGAAGGAATGGCACTGTTGCTGGCCGGTTCGTCTTGGTCTTCGACTTTGGCAGGTTCTGGTGAAGTTACGTCAAGCCCGTCGTCCATGTGAGATGAAGGTTCTTCAGGATCACGGTGCTCGCTGGCTTCTACCACAGGAGACTCTAGTTTGAGGTGCGGCTGCGCGGGACTTGCCATCGATGGTGACCGACGGCGAGGGCTTGCGCTATGACTGTATCGACCAGACTTTCGAGGAGATGATGGACTTTTTCGTTCTTGCCAGGGTGAACGATGTTCTGCGACCTCAGCTTTTACGCGAGCCCTTGGTGAGGACCTACGAGTCCTGCTGCCTATGCTTCTAGGCGAAGATGAGCGCCTTCCTCTAGGAGCATACGAGGACTGCGGTTGCTGAGTGGGTGAACGAGGTCGCGGGTAGTAATCTAGGGGTTGCACTCATTAAGGCGCGCTAGTTTGATGTGAAGCAGAAGAACTTACCACGGCGTGGCGAGGGAGGTGCACCACGATAGCTCGGTGTAGCATGAGGCCTATCAAGCCCTCGGTCTCTTCGTTCTTCATATGAGTAATCACGCTCCCGTCCTCTTCCCCAGTCTCTATCTCTTCTATAGTCATCCCGACTCCGCCAGTCACTTTCTTGGGGATGTGGCCCGTCATATCCTCTTCGACTCGCGGATCCACGGTCTGCACCATAGTCCTTCCTAGCTACCCATGCGTCGTCTGACCTGCCTGGTTGCCTCCTGTCATACCCCCGTTCCCGTTCCCATTCTCGTTCTCTATCCCAATCTCTCCTGTGGTCGTCTCTCGGCCGAGTATCTTCATAGCCACGGTAATCCCTCACTTGGTATGTATCACGAGAACCGGCGATGTATGTGTCCATGGAGCGTGGGGGTGACCTTGGAGGGTAGCGACCGCGGTGGCCGCGTTCGCGGTCCCTTGGGTCTCGGTCGTCACGTAGATGGGAGTGCCGGTCTGGCGTTAAGCGTCCGCCGGAGCGCCGATCCTCCCCTGGCTCCGGCCACACTTTTGGTGCTCTTGCAAATTCAGGTTTGGGAGGAAGATTCGACATAACGAGTCGGTGAACTTGGTTTCGTTGATCTGGTGGAGAAGACCTTCAATAGACTTTGTTTGGCCTGCTTTATGTTTGCTCGCGGAGTTGCCGATTTGGGATGGTGATTGAGGGTGCCGGCGGGGACACTGGCATGTTCTCCTGCTCACACCGGCATGACTCCCGACCTTGTACCGCTAGCGACATCCGCCCAAGTTGAACTCACACCGTCTAGAGAAGATGGAATACCTCATGAACTGGAGGAAGATCTGAGGGCGTTCGGATGCAAACTCATTCACCAAGCCGGAATCTTGCTAAGACAGTACGTGAACCTAGGCGTATTTGAGGTTTTGTTCTCAACGCTGGTAGAAAACAGGTAGCGGTCGCTACAGCCCAGATTCTATATCACCGCTTCTGGTATGCAACGTCGATGAAGCAGTTTGGCATAGGGGTCAGTCCGCTCGACCTTTGGGATACATTTTTCGATCTTCACAAAGTTACCCTCAGGACGTTGGCATGGGAGCCTTGTACTTGGCCTCAAAACTGGAGGAATGTCCCCTTCGGATGCGGGATCTTATCAACGTCTACGATCTTCTCCTGCAACGCACGGCACACGACCTAGCCTCGAGTACCTCGGTAAAAGCCAAAGAGAAGTTCAAATACGCGCCAATGTCGTACTTTGGGAACACCTTCTACGACCTCAAGGACGCTCTCGTAGTTGCAGAGATGCAAATATTGAAGCGCCTGGGCTTTAACGTTCATGTCATATTGCCTTACGGAACTTTGATAAACTACCTACGGGTCCTTGGCTTGACAAGTCACAAGGATGCATGCGCCAGAGCATGGGGTTTTCTGAACGACGCGTGCGTGCTACCCTTGGACCCACAAAACACTTATCCACTGATACCTTAATTGTCAACCAGCCTCCAAACACCAGTATACGCTCTCTACGCAGTTCCTACAATCGTTAGCGCTGCCATACTCCTCGCCACGCGACATCTTGGAATATCACTCCCTTCCACACCACCAAATTGCTGGTGGGACTTGTTCGACGCCCCATGGGATGACGTGTGGGGTGTCTGTGGTTATATCATGCGACTATATCGTGATCGCACGGAAGAAGAACGGCTCAGGGTAATCGGCATGGTCAATAAGAAGGATGTAAGGAAGTGGCTTGAAGAAAACCCTCCTGCCAGCTAACGTATTGTTTTATGTGGTAAGTTACACCTGCTTTTTGTCGATTTGGAGCTGAGAGACCGATGTAACTCTTTATTTTAGTTTATGGAGACGTTTTGGTTGCTTTTGAGAAATATAGACACTGTCAACGCCCTACGCATGCGCGATCTTCAACTCGAAACTTGAGCGGGGTTTGCTTGACCGCCTGTTTTACAAGTGGCTGCTTATCAAGCATGAGCGCACCAACCGTGTTTCAGCGTCGGGTTAGCTGTAAGCGAACCATCAGCAACATGCAGCGAAGATATCCCTGGCAACGTCTACATCGTACGAAGTGAGTTATGCGAGAACCTTTGATCTGATCCAGCTCACACCAAGCCCATTGATCGTGATAGGGGGCATGATGGCGTTTTCGCCTTGCAATCACCGCCTAGTGATAAGTATGTGCCAACGCATCATAAGTAGTCTGTTGCATCTCTGATGGACGTTCGGGAGCTGTGACCTCCGATTGTCGGGCGAGCCGGTGGATTAAATTGCGGTCGTGGTTCTCAAGGTTTAGAACCATCAAGAGGTGCTATAGATACTGAGTGTCCTGACCGTCTGCCCTGCCCCTCCAGAAGTAGAAGCCAGCAAAGGAATCCCCAAGCCCCCCGCCCATTACCCGCACCGTGACGCTAAGGTTAGATCGTTTTGATAATGCGGAAGGAATGTGATGACCATTAAAGAGCTCCTATGTCCTTTAAGGTTGCGAACATCGCATCAAAGGACCCTTGGATGGGAGGAAATCTAGGATGCACAGACAACCAGAAAGACACCGCGAATGAACTGTGGTGCCAACTCGGGCAGGAATATCGATCACGGTAATGATCTTGTACCCTTCGAGTACTTCTCACATCGGGTTGACCCTTACTTGTTTCAGGAGAATTACCACCTGCCTAGCAGCGAGCACAAACCGATAATGGTCACCAGTTCTTTGGGCACGATCATTCCCAAGATCAGGTCGGTCACAATTTTGATACGAAATCTCTAGCACACACGAGTGTGCGATCAAAATAGGCACGCTGCAACCCTATCTCACGGGGAAGCTGTCGACTTGTCTGACAAGAGCACTACTGCCAAGGTCCTGCATCAGGGCTTCGACACCGTCGCACCGGGGGAATTAATCCATGGCTGCGGAGAGGTGGGATCCATGGATTCAACGCACTGCTGTATTCTCTCTCGGGTTAATCGGTCGCGATGGAGGGCGCAGATCAGGTGCTTTGAGGTCGAATCAATCAAAGCAAACGGGGCATCGAACGACGATTTGATGCGACTTCAGCATGATGAGGTGAGAAACGCGGGTCTTGCTCTTATGGTATATCTTCCTCAGGCTGGCGCGCACAGATCGCGGTAGAGCCGCAGTAGACGCGATCACGGGTACCTCAACTAGACACTGCTGTTACAAGGAAACCCTAAGGCAGTGGGCTCCCTCATCTGAAACTGACTGCAGAGCCGGGAAAGAGAGTGACCAACTTGGACGGCGAGCAAACCTCTGGTTGGTCATACTTTGACTCCCAGCGCACTTACTAGCAAGGGTGATATCTTTTCAAATCGCCACTATATTTGGAACACCGCCCGCTCAGTACTCCAGTCTTCTTGCCGAAGAACGACATTCAATCTCACCGAGCCCTAATCTAGTAGTATAAACTCTGTAGTCACTACACCTGGAATTTATACAGTGGTCACTTGGTGGTCACTGACTCTGGAGCTCACGCTTTTCAAGCTCGGTTCTGAGAGTAGTTGAGCCTGGCTTCCTTATAGTTTATATGGCCATAAAATAATGTCTCTGGTAGTATATCGGATAGTACAGCCGCCTGTCATACAAGATCCACTTTGGTCAGTCGGCGCGCGGCAGAGCTGGGTTCGACTCCCAGCCAGAGAGAGTTTTTTTGTTCCATTTTGTGTTGATCCTCTTTACATTAGAACGAAAGAGAGGACATCATTGTTCTATGATACCAAAGGTAAGGAAAGGCAAGGGGGATGCTGTACGAAGTAGCTGGATTTGCAAATGCCACCAGGGGCTATCCCCTGTATATACACTGTGGCGAACCCAAACTCGAGACTAGTATTCAAGCCAAAGATCATATCAATAGATAGAGAGGAACAATGTAGCAAAACTTGTACAGTAAGGTAACCTAAGCTAGCGCAAAGTGGTGAGGAAAACTAGAAGGCACGAAGAAACCAGTATCACTGCGGTACACTGCAGGGTGGAGGGGGCTTCCGGAACACACGTAGTACGTAGTTTTGGCAATGGTCGGCCCTTCCACTCTCCCGGCCCTGAACTCTTTCGTACATGCCCCCACGTCTCCCGCCTCCAATGTAAAATCGAGGCGGTCAAAGACGGGCAATGTTTCGGAGAACTCGGGGTGACGAGCGAGATGGCGCGCGATTGCAGTTCTGTCGTTGAGAAACTCCATAAGGTGGCTGTACTTGGTGTTGACGAGGACTAGAGAGGATATTTGCGAGCCTGGGTAGGTGTAGGATGGTTTCGCATTACGCTCGCTGCCAGAGATAAGGACACGTTGGTTGAGACTTTGCAAGAAGACATAGTCTGGGTCATCGAGTACCAGGGTCTTCAAGGACTTCATGGTTAACATTAGGCGGACAGGGAGGATGTGTGGAGGTGCGATCGAATCCGTTAGGACATCGGGACCCCATTCTTGAGCCGTGTGGAGCAATCGCAAATTAGTGAGGGTTAACGATTCGATTTGAGCCATCAAGGTTGGCCGCTGGGTGCATACGGAATGCAGCATGAAGGCCGAGTCGAAGTGATAGTTCGGCTCTAGATCCGGTATTGAGATCAGGCCGGGTAGGTCTCTAGAATATCCGGCATGTTCTAGCGCTCTGCAACGTATAGCATTCTCCGTTCTCGTAAGGTCGCATAAATCGAGCGAATTGAGTGAAGGCATTTGAAGAACGAGTAGAAAATCGAGAGCCTCTTCTTGTACCGCGAAGCCAAGTCGAAGCTGTCGCAGTTTTGGGAGAACGATGGGTGGCATCTGTTCTACGTTCCACCGAACGGGGAGGCTCCCTCGAAGCTTGAGTGTCTCGAGCGAATTTCCGCTCAGCATCAAAGCAATGCGAAATTCCCAGATGCGGGGACGGTCTCCAGGCGCCAGACAGTCAAGGGTGAGCGAAGTGAGACTCCCGATGGCCCACTTATAGAAAAGGGGGTCGGCGCCGGATAGCTTGATCTCTCTGAGTTGTGGAAGCAAAGTGTCCCCCGCTAGCCCCTGGACTACGGGGAAGCCAATGGTGGAGTGAAATATAGCGCGATCACGGTTTGGTACACCCTGCCGTGCACCGAAACAGACGTCCTCCTTTCCGTACGAGACATGCCACTTCTCCAGCAGGGGAAGACTCCCAGGAATAAGTCCACTTGTAATCAAGTCACAAACAGACTCCACGTCGGTGATGACCTTGAGTGTTTTGACTCGCTCTTGTTCAACGGCGATGAATTTGATGCCCGAGCGGATTAAAGAAGTGATTGCGCATTGATTACTGGGCGGGAGGAGATGGAAGTCGGGGCAGTCAACCTTCATCCTGAAATGAAGGGGACTACGCCTCGAGCGAAGGGCAAAGGCGGATGCCTTGCCAAATAGGCAGTCAGGCGCCAACACAGAAGCCTTGTCGATCTTGATGTCAATACTTGTCCAGAGGGTCTTGGCGTTTAAGGCCCGACGCCTCCATGATTTGCACACATGCGACACGAGGACGGGAAATTGTACGCCTTTGTCTTCGTCGAAACGTGTGCCCAGGTGGAAGATATAGTCCATGATTTCGACCGGCATGCGATTGATGAAACAGGGTGGTGGTAATTTGAAAAAAGCCTTAACTGCCTCGAAATTTGTGGGCGTGACCAAAATGGTCCTTGTCGACGAGACCTGAGCGTCATGGAGGACTATCTTCATCCGGAAAATCGGGGGTGAGGAGGAGGCGAAGAGCTGCGAAAGAGTATGGCAATCGGACATCCTATGCCTGCTCGAATGTCAGTAACTGATGATTGTTGGAAAGAACATATTACTTTTACCTGAGTTAGATCTTGAGGTAGACTTTGAGGGGGGTCTAGGAAATGCGCTACCAAGTGGGGAGTATGGAGGGCTTCGAGGAGCTTCTTAAGCAAGTTCACGAACTTCCACCACTCCACATGCCCATGGTTTTATGGATTGAGAACGCTTGGGCAACCTTGGAGCTATAGTCATCCCACAAAGCAGCTTGGACAAGATGGCTCGAAGCATCGCTCTTTGCCGATGGCACATGACAAAAGCTACATTTAATGCGTGATACCGCACGGGTTAGCTTTGCTGGAGGCGCGTTGGCCAACAAAAGGATGTCTTGCAAGTGAACTGAAGCGCTTTGACGTACGGTGAGCGTTTTGACCACACTGGGTCTGGCTATTGTAAACAAAGCGGCATGAGCTTAGACCACCCTGTGCCACTCCTCCGCACAACTCACCGCTTTGATGCCAAGAACATATCTTCAAGCATGAGTGAAGCTCTGAAGCAGGCAACGTACCAGGTGACTGCTTTTGAGGACGCTGATTCGGCCGTCGAACACCGTCGCGAGTTACGCGCTTGCTGTGTCATGCGAGGGATCCCATCTATTGAATGCATCAGCGGTAGACTGTTCGTTTTTCTCAGAACGGACCTCAATGACACATCAAAGATCCGTGTTGTGCAGGGAAAGTATTTATATCAGTCCTGGCTGATAAACGTGATTAAGGCCGATACCCCCAATAGGTACCATCATGCAGTCATCGTGCAGTGTGACTGTCAGGCGTGGAAGAAGAGTGTGTCACGGTACCCGACGACCCTCCCGCCTTTTGGTACTTCGCCGAAGCCGCGGGAGCGGGAGTGACCGGACACTGATCGAAATCCATGACGCCTTCTTTGCTCACCGCTCATTAGTAGTCTTGCAGCAGGTTGATATTCGAGCGACGCGCTCCCGATCACCGCGCGGCCGAGCTCGCCCGATGTTCCAATCCGCTTTTCTTTCAGACACCCGAAGGTCTGGGTTTCGCGGGCATCGTGTCGCATATAATACACTCCTGAAGTTTGTCACCAGTCTCTTGCATGTCTTCCAATGTCATGGGAGGTATTATATTCGCAAGCCCTCTAAAACGGGCGCCGGATAGTCCTAGTCGCTCAAAATAGCCTGCACCACATTCGACACCCTCAGCTGCCTCAAATCAGTATAAGTCTTGTATCGTTATCAAGTCAGCGGACGATCACATCATGGAGCAGAAGTCACATACCTGACCACACCCCACGAAGATAATAGGCTGTCCAGTAACATACGTCATGGAAAGCGCAGCACCAACCTCCACGAACCAGTGAGCCTTCTCGCTCTAAATAGGTTGGTGTTGGGGAACGTACTTTGTCATCGACGGTGTCCCACTTCGTCACGAGCATGCCGTCAATGCCACGGCTCCTCCCTGAGGAAGCACCAGAGAAGTCACGCAACGCACGATCAAATTTGGTGAGTTGGTCGACGGCTTCGTTGCCGACTAAGGCCTCGCCCACGAAGATGATCTTGTCGGGATTGTTGACTGAAACGAGCTGGAAGGTTGTCAGAATTTATGTTCGTAAGGTAGAAATATGATGTACCTTAGCTAAAGCTCTCATCAATGGCTATATGCGCCTTGAGTCAGAGCGAGCTGAGTTGCGAGCGCCACTACGCACCTCATTATCTTGCATACGCCCAGCTGTATCGATGAGCACGACATCGAAGTCATTCTCCTTCGCTGGGAGGACAAAGTCAGCCAAGAAAAGGGACTAATGATACTACTCACCATATGCAATAGCTTCCTTCGCAATCCCAGCAGCATCCTTGCCATACCCTTTCTCGTAGAGCTCAACGCGCCCTTTGCTATTCATTGCTCCATTAACTCCTAGCGTACTCAAGTTGCGTACGTGGACTCGAAGTTGCTCAACTGCGCCACTCCTGCGATGGACTACTTAGGGAAGGAAGAGCCAGAAAACGACGCATATACTCACCGGAAAGTATCGCACGCAGCGATGAGGACTCGTAAACCGTTCTGGATTAGCCAGAAGCACACTTTGGACAGGTTGGTGCTCTTGCCAACTCCGTTGACACCAACAAAAGTGATGCTATATGGTACTCTTTGTTGAGACGACGGAAGAGGTGAGGATAGCTTTGTCCGGATGGACAACAAGAGATCGGTCGAGGTCTTGGGAGTAAGGATCCTCGTCAAAGAAGATGACAGGGCCATGCGGACCGCATTGCTGGTCGCTAGAGGGGGAATGAGCACAAACATGACTTGCACGTCATAAAACGTACTTTGGAACCCTCCAACCTTCTTACCGACGAGGCTTTCGCCAACGCCTTCACAGACTTTGTCAGCAATCTCTTTTGCGACGTTCTTCTTCATGAGATGCTGCTTCATGCCCTCCAGAACGGGCTTGAGGTCTTCCTCAGTCAGGATCTTTGATCCTGTCAAACGTGCAAAAAGGGAGCCCAATGCGCCGAGTGATCCCGCTGCCTGCTTCGTCGCGTCAGGTCTGAGGGCACGTGCAATCGCATCGTTTGTTGCGTCATCCTTCTGACCAAAGTCCCAGTCTTTCACCTCATACATCCCGTCCTTTGTCCTCGTTCCCAAAGACGCTTCGTCAACGAGGGCTTGCAGATCATGGGACAGATACGCATTGGCACCAGAATCCGGTTTGTCAGAGCTGAAGTCCAAAGACGCCATATCCGACTCGGTAGGAGCCTCGTTGCCCCATTTACGCTGTGTTTTTGTCTTGGCTTTTCGCTTGCCAGACTCGTTGCTAATCCGAGGTAGAAAACTGAGTCTCGTGATCATGGCGAGACCTGTCAAACTCACTCTGATGGAGGAACACTATCTCGTCCACTCCCCGACTC